TCAGTGCTGTTTCACCTGGCGACCACCGGCCATGTGGAAATCATGGCCCGCACAACCAAGGACGCCCTCCGCCGCCTGGACTCTGCGGACTGGGACTACAAACTGGCATCCTTCCTGTTTGGCCAGCGGACAACACCCCACACCACTACAGGGCGCAGTCCGGCGGAACTACTGCTGGGCCGCCGCCTGATGTCTCGGCTGGATCGGCTGCACCCAGACCGGGCATCGCCAGAGGCCCCAAGCACAGAGGCCGCCAGGGGGTTCTTTTCTGAAGATCCGGTGTACGCACGGAACTACGCCAAGGGGCCCACCTGGATTCCGGCTCGAGTCATCCGAGTGAAGGGCCCCAGATCGTATGAGGTCTCGTGCGAGGACGGCCAAGTACTACACAGGCACATTGACCAGCTCCGCCGCCGGACGCTGCCGGTGGACCCAGAGGACTTGAACTGGGCCGAAATTCCGAAGGTACCGCCAAAAGCCCCACTGCCGGAAACGGGGCCACGGCCCACAACCGAGGACGACTCTACGCCCCCACCAGCACAAGCCCCCGACGCACCGCTTGAGGGCCCGCGTGAACCAGCCCTCTCCGCCCCGTGACCAGTCGGCTCGCCGCCAAGGGCTCCCGGGGCAGACGCCACCACCGTTCCCGAACCTCGCCGCTCGACTCGCATCAGGAAGCCTCCAGCCTACCTAGAGGACTTTGTCTGCGGGTGCATTGCGGACCAAGGGGGAGGGGTGTAGTGTGTCAGGCCCTGACAGGGCTGGGCATGCCTGGACTTGTCCAGGCACAAATACCTAAAGCATACTTTTCAGTTAGTCTCTTGCCTTATGGGTCACCCTAATGGCACTTTATACACACACTAATTCAATTTACAATTTGTGCTTGTAGTGCCTTCGGAACGGTTAAAGAAAAAAGGGAAAGAATGATTGGACTGCTCAGCCCGCAGTTTTAAAGAAGCCGTACTTGGCTGCTTGGAAGTGCTGCTGAACATGGTGGCAGGATAGGAAATAAAGGACATTTTACAAAAGCTTCAGCCTATTGTAAATCAAGGCTGCAAACAGTAACCTACTAAGAAGGCCGGTTGACATATTGAGGGGCTGCCACAGGGTGAGCCAGGAATGGCTTCGCTTGTGTAGGTACCCGCCTCATGCTGCTGTAGCAGAAAGCAGTAGTGCTGTGCACCCTGCACTCAACAGTCCCCTTGCTCTCCCCAGCGTCCACCTTCACAATAGCACAGGCTATAGCACCAAACAGGGAGGTGGGCTTTACACAACTGGGACTGGCTGGAGAAAGGACTCCAGTGACCAGCCAGCCAACCTACACAACCCCTCCCGATTGTGGTCCTGGATCAGCCAGCCCCTTTCCCAGAGTTGGCCCTTCAGTGAGCACCACGGTGGCCTCCTGGCCTTGCCAGCCCCCTTGCCCCACACCTGTTGCCACAGGTGCAGCTCTCCTTCACCTAGCAGTGGCCCTGCAGGGTCCAAGGAAGGCAGGAAAGGTCCGACATACCAGGAATTTCCCCAATCCAGTCTGCCCCTGAATGGGGCTGCTGACGCAGGGAAGCCAGCAAATTCCAGTGCCAGGTAAATGGCTTAAAGGTCCAGTTACCTGAATGGAGGGAATTCCCCTGCAACTTGAAGTGCAGGACTGCTAAAAGAGCAGAAGGTAGAACTCTGCTCTCCTGAAGCCAAATCTGGTTAGTGAATATGGAAGAGGCTTCCTCAGTAAATGAAGCAAGCCTGACTTGACAAGCATTGAATCAGACTATTATGTTTTTACTGTCGTATGTATATCTTAATTTGTTTTATTGATGTTTTATATGATTGTGTTGTACACTAACCTGAGCCTTGTGCTACCGGGGAGGGCGGTTGATAAATTTAATAAAATAAATATAGACAGATAGACAGAAAGGTGGCAGACTTGGGGAACATACTCCCACAGGAAAAGAATAATAATGTGATTGGATTTATACAATCTACAAAAAATAAGAGATTGGATTTATACCCCGCCCTTCATTTGGGAGTCTCAGAGCGGCTTACAATCTCCTTTCCCTTCCCCTCCCCACAACAGACACCCTGTGAGGTAGGTGGGGCTGAGAGAGCTCTTTCAAGCACTGCTCTGACAGAACTATGGCTTGCCCAAGTTCATCCAGCAGCTGCAAGTGGAGGAGTGGGGAATCAAACCCGGTTCTCCCAGATTAGCGTCCGCACACTTAACCACTACACCAAACTGTGCTTGGCATTAGGTTTTCTACAGCTGACTCTCCCACAGGATATTACTTCTAAATTCCTACATTTTACTTCTGAAGAAGGCATGCTTTGATGAACATGTTAAAGGCACTTTGAAATGGCCATAGCCCTTGGCAGCCTTCCTTGTTCCAGAGCTGCGAGCTACTATAGTCAGGTGCAGTCTCAAAAGAAACGAACGGAACCGGTGGTGTATGACTAGGAGGGAAGGGAACAACTCCAATGAGTGGGGTTTTGCGTGGGGCTTCGAATGCGAATTGTTTGTGAAGGTCACTGCGTATTTACATGGAGAGGAAAACGAAAAGGAAGGGAAAGCTGCGGCGAGTAACATGTGCATGCGCACGTTGTGCAGCTTGATATTCACAATTTCCAGTGTGTGCAACAGGACACAGAGCAGATCTGAAATAAAAGTGGAGTCTCTGGGCTACAAACCCGCCGTAGTATGCTCGAATTTAAATCCATTTGTTAAATTTACTCTTTCCTGAATTTCTCTATATTGCCTATTACTCTAGGGGTGTATAGCAGTGTTCCCTCTAAGCTGAGTTGGTGTGAGCTAGCTCACAGTTTTTTATCCTCCGGCTCACACATTTTTTGTCTCCGCTCAAGAAGGGACGGCTCCAGAGCAAACTGATTTATGCAACAACCCAATCGCTGGCTCACGACTTTAGTGCCAGCAGCTCACAAAGCAGAATTTTGGCTCACAAGACTCCACAGTTTAGAGGGAGCCTTGGTGTATATAGTCTACGGTCGTGACGACAAACTACAGCCCGGATGCCAGATTAGACGCTGGTTCCGCTGTGCGTTTACGAGTTCCAGCAAAGCTAAGCGCCAGAGCCTCTCAAAAGTCCCACCCTAGCAAGACCACCTCCGCCTCAATCCCGGGATGCTTTGCGCTACGCGCGCCCACTTCTTTCCGTAGTCAAGATGGCGGCGCCCGCCCTGCGAGCCGGGCAGCGCCGGGTGGTCGCCTTGAGCGCTCGCTTGGCCCGGTTGGCGGCTTTCGAGGGGCGGCGGCAGCAGAAGCTCCACGACCAGCCGCTGGAACCTCCGACAAAGCCGGCCAACCGTGCGGGGCTCCCGCCGGTGACGGTTTATTGCGGCTTCGACCCGACGGCCGACTCCCTCCACGTCGGCCACTTGCTCACGGTGGTGGGGCTGCTGCACTTCCAGCGCGCGGGCCACAACGTCATCGCGCTGGTCGGGGGCGCCACCGCGCGCCTGGGGGACCCCAGCGGCCGCACCAAGGAGCGCGCGCCCCTGCCGGAGGAGCGCGCCCGCGAGAACGGGGAGGGGCTGCGCGAGGGGCTCCGGCGGCTCTTCGGCCACCACCGCGAGCTCTTCTGGGCCGGCGGGGCGCGCCTGGGCGAGTTCACGCTGCTGGACAACGCCAGCTGGCTGGGGCGCGAGCCCGTGGTGGGCTTCCTGGGGGCGGTGGGGGGCCACCTGCGCATGGGCACCTTGCTGAGCAGGCAGAGCTGCAAGGCGCGCCTCGGCAGCCCTGAGGGCATGGGCCTGGCCGAGTTCCTCTACCCGGCCCTGCAGGCCTACGACTTCCTCCACCTGCACCGCCACTACGGCTGCCGCGTCCAGCTGGGAGGAGCCGACCAGATGGGCAACATCATGTCTGGCTACGACCTCGTCTCCAAGTACGAGATGGTGGAGGGCTACTGCTGGGTTTGGCTTTGTTTTGGGGGGGGGGGGTTCCTTTGTATTTTTAAAAAAGGCTAGACAGTAAAGCAAACAAGGACGAAATATGCTTATCCGTTCTACCCTGAGGTCCCCATGGGTGACCTGTTCCACTTTTGCCAGGAAAAGGGGAGGGGAGAGGTCTGAAAGGGAAAGAGGTGTTTGTAGCTTAGGCTGAAGTTTTTGCATCTTGCTTACATAGGTTGGCATCCAGAGAGCTACTTCAGACAGCTGCTGGATGACCTTGGGCAAGCCATAATTCTGTCAAAGCTGTTCTCTCAAGGACAGTACTGTCAGAGCTCTCCCAGTCCCACCTACCTCACAGGGTGTCTGTTGTGGGGAGAGGAAGGGAAAGGAGTTTGTAAGCCACTCTGAGACTCCCGAGTGAATCCAATCTCCTCCTCTTCTGCTGCTTCTGGGGCATTTTTGCTTTGAAGAGCAGCCACCACTCTTGTTCTTATCACAGTGATTTGCAAGGTACCAAGAACCATACATTCCAAAAATTATTTGTTCCGTGTCATGGGATTATGAGCAATTCAGAACCCAAAAACCTGGGCATGTGGGATTGGTGCAGGTTTGGGGGGGGGGTCCCCTTTCTGGCTGTAGGTATTGTTTTTTCAGTCAGTCTTTGCTACAAGTTGGACTATTGGGAAGATTTGTACTGCTCTTTCTGTTTTATATTTGTCTATTTGGGGAAAGTGGGATACAAGTGCTAAGTGTTTCAGTGCTCACCTAGTATCATCAGTGAGTGCTGTGCTGTAGAGAATGCAGAAGTTACACAGTCTTGAGCAGTATTCTGGAATGGCAGCATATGCATTTCCTGAATAAGAAAAACTGGCAGTTGATATTAGTGGGAACTGGATGGGAAAGAAGCAGGTAGGATGAGGGTAGAATGATTCAGAAAGAAATATCTGGCTAAAAAAATGAGCCTGGGTGAAGAGACAGGTGGTTGAAGGAAAAAGGGATAAACAGGTGAACAGTTGTTTCATGTGGGAAGGGTAGTCAACACCACAGACTTGATGAAACAATCTGCCCAGAGTAATTGATTTGCCTTGAAGATAGATTCAGGTAGGTAGCTGTGTTGGTCTGAAGAAGCAGCACAAAGTATTAGTCCAGTGAAACCTTAAGACCAACAAAATTTTATTAAACATATGAGCTTTCATGTGCACACACCCTTCCTCAGATACAATGAAATGGAATTTACAGGTGATACACATAGGCAGAGGTTGAGCAGTAAATCAGCATAATGGTCACCATTTGTGTGGATTCAGTTCCATGGGAAAACACAGAGAGGCAAATAAATCTATCAAACTTGTCCATGTCAAACTAAGTCCATGTGGACTTAGTTTGTTATCTCTGTTTGGTCTTTGCATCTGTCAAAACATCATGTTACGTGATAACCATATAAACTAAGCTTGTTATTCCTGAATCTGCTAAATATCTTCATTATGCTGATTTACTGCTCAACTTCTGCCTATGTGTATGGATTGGTAAATTCCATGCCATTGTATCTGAGGAAGTGTGCGTGCACACGAAAGCTCATACATTTAATAAAACTTTGTTGGTCTTAAAGGTGCCACTGGACTCGGACTTTGATTTGCTTTGAATTATCCTTTCAGGAACCATTGTAATAATTGAATACCTGGGGGCAGTAACTTCAATATACCGCATAATATTAAGGCCGACTAGTATGAAATGAATTGACAGGTCCATCAGATAGCTTACTGCTTGCTCTGAGTAACACTCCTTCATTTTCAGTCCCATAATGAGGGACTTGGAACTGAAGATCAGAGTTTTTAGAGTGTCTGAAGGAGACTGTCAGGAGGTTTTCAAGGAATGGGGCATGGGACTAGAATGTCAGGGACAAATGAGAAAACGGGCAGTTTGTGGAGTATGCAGGAGTGTGTTGAAGTTAAATATTTTTGGCTGGCATTTTCTGTCTCAGAAGTGTTGTGTAGTTTTGAGCAGGGCTTTTTTTTTTCTGGGGGAGCGCACCAGAACGGAGTTCCAGAACCTCCAACAAAATTCTTTTAAAAATGTTTAAAAGTTAATGAGTTTTCAGCATACAGATTGAAAACTTCAATTGCCTCTTGAGTGTTCTGGCACCTCTTTTTCTACACACACATACACAAAGCCTCGGTTTTGAGATTCTACGGAATTTATAATGGGGTCTCCCAACAAGCAGTATGCATAAGAGCAGCCCTGATGGAGCACACCAGTGAATGAGTAGCATCCTGTTTCACATCGGGGCCAAGCAGATGAACCCAGATGACCTACAAGTAGGGCACAGAAGCCAAAGTCTGCCCATGTTCTTGCCCCCTCAGCACTGACATTCAGAGAGCTACTGCCTCATCATGCAAAGTGTATCCCTCCTCCATGAGTGTAACTTTTTATCTGTTCCTGTTTATTCTCTGGCAGGGTGACAGGCGAAGATGTGTTTGGAATAACCGTGCCTCTTATTACAAGTATCACAGGAAACAAACTGGGGAAGTCTGCTGGAAATGCAGTTTGGCTTAACAGAGATAGGACTTCTCCCTTTGAACTGTATCAGTTTTTTGTCAGACAACCAGATTCCATTGTAAAAAGGCAAGTACTTCTCTTAAAGGCCCTATGTGCAATTTGTTGCTTCAAAAACTGTACATTAAGAGTGAAATAATTTTATTGTTGGATTGAACGTGGATCTGTCCATTCTGCTATGCTGTCTCCAATGCAGAGCAGCCAGGGATCATCGTGAAAGTAAGAAACACTTAAATGGGTCCTGTTTTGTTTGTAAAATAATAGCTTTTAATTCACTGGCGCTATGGATTTATTACAAAAGTTGCACATAATACGTTTTCAAGGATTCAGTGGTTTAGTAATCGCCCAGATATTCAGAAGTCCATTTGTATTCCTGGCAGCCCCTGAGTTTCCTACAGAAGATATGTGACATTTATTATTTTTTGTTTATTTTATACATCACTTTTCTTTCCAGTGGGAAGTGGGGACCCAAAGAAGTCTAAAACATACCTCTTTCTACATTTTACCCTCACAACTAACTTGTGCGGTAGGTTTGACTGTGCATGTGGCTGTCCCAAGGTCACCCATCAAGCTTCCATTGCAGAGTGGGGATTTGAACCAGGGTCCCCCAGATCATAGTTTGACACACTAACCATTACATCACACTGGCTCTCACACATTGTGCTGGTCCAATGTCACATCCTAATGGCGTATTGCTAGTGTAGCAAGACTTAAGTTCTGTATATGCAGCAAAATGTAAAAGATACACATTTGTTAGGTATATGATTAATAATATATTATTTAAAAGAAACAACATCTAAATTTATATTGTCCAGCACATCCATAAAATAAATGTTCCTGTTTTCCCTTTAAGGTATCTGCAGCTTTTCACTTTTCTCCCTCTTCCGGAAATCAATCACATTATGGAAATGCATGCTCAAGAACCTGAGAAGTGGGCCCCCCAAAAGCGTCTTGCTGCTGAAATAACTAAGCTTGTTCATGGCAAGGAAGGTCTGGAGTCTGCTAAGAGGTAAAAGGAGATTGTCAGCTAAGACATTATCATTATTAAGGTTCCATAATCTACACGTGGAAGCAAGTTTCTACATTTGAGTGAGCTACATAAAATCCTGCTTTGCGGGGTGGAGGTTGCCGACAGTCACCCACTGATGTCTGTATCACCTATCTCTGTGGTTGTGGCCCACATAGTATATCTGCCATAGCTGGTTTGTAAGAGACACACAATAACATCAGCATTATGAGAAAAGTCTTTCTGGCTATGACAATAGAGCATCTGTCACAGTGCAGAATGTTGAGTAATCTGACAGACTATCCCACACCTTAGTAGTCATTGATCAGTTCCTAAATCATGGTTGTAATGCAGATCATTTCTCTGTGTTTGGTGTTACTCCGCTCCTTTCCTTTCCCCCCCCCCGCCCCACTAGATGTACAAGGGCTCTTTATTACAGCAATATAGCTGCGCTGGAGTCTATGTCTGACCAGGAATTACAGGAACTCTTCGGAGAAGCACCGTATATTGAACTGCTGTATGAACCCGGAACAACAGTACTTGAACTGTGTCGGAAAGCCGGTGCTGTGGCAGATGGGCCAAAGGGGTAGGTTATCATTTATTTTACTAAACCAGTTAATTGTCTCACCACAGTTTGTTTTGCCAACACTTCAGTATGTTCTTTGTATAAGTTAACTTTTAAAAGTTGCATAGAAAAATATGGATCTGTATGTTCTCACCCTCTCACTGAAATCCATGCTATGAATCACTGTAACTTTGCAGAACAGGGGTACAGAACCAGGAAGCTAGGTAAAAAGGGTGAGGCTACAAAGCGTGAGAGAGAGAATATACCAAAAGTTGCCTCCCAGACAGCAGTTGAGATGTCAGGTTGTGGAGTTTATTCAGTGCATGATCCCTCGTTTTTGTTACACCTTAGCAGTTTTTCAAAATACTTGCAACACTCATGGTTAAACGAACCGGGACTCAGCATGCATTTGCCTTGAACACATAGACAGATGACCAGTAACCACCTTTTTTTAACTGGGGCATCTAACCAACAGTTTAAGCCCTAATAAAAAGGTAAAGGTTCCCTTGTTCGAAAGCCAGTCGAATCCGACTCTAGGGTTGCGGTGCTCATCTCCGTTTCAAAGCCGAAGAGCCAGCGCTGTCCGAAGACGTTTCCGTGGTCATGTGGCCGCACGGAACGGTTACCTTCCCACCGAAGCGGTACCTATTTATCTACTTGCAGTTTCTTGCTTTCGAACTGCTAGGTTGGCAGGACCTGGAACTAGAGACGGGAGCTCACTCCGTCCTGTGGCACCTGGGTCTTGAACTGCTGAACTACCGACCTTCCACAGCCTGCAGTTCAGCGTCTTAACCACTTGAGCCACCGCAGCTCCTTTTAAGCCCTAATAAGATAGTCCTTTTTGGATTAATGGCCATGGCTTCAAGACTTCTGGAGGACCTAGACACACAAGCTAATTTGGCAGGAAACCTTTTCTGCTCAGACTGTACTTGGCTGGAGCCAGTTCAGTGCTCCATTAGAAACGGTACAGCTTATGTTGGCTGGGAACTGATTGCTCTGAACTCTTTTGTCTTTTGAATTCTAGAAGCATTAAGTCTCATTTGTACACTTTCTCTTTCAAGGCATTGCGACATAACAAGTGGCGGAGTTAGTATAAACCACATGCAGGTAACTAATCCCGACGCTGTTCTTATTGCCGGCCGACATATTCTCAATAACGGCTTATCGCTGCTTAGGGTGGGAAAGAGAAACTACTATATCATAAAATGGCTTCAGTTGTTACAAGAGGAGACAGGCTAACCCCGTGAAGAAAACTGCAGCTTCATCACATCCTGAAAACTTAAACTGACCTTTCTAAATTTAAGCACATCACGGGCTCTGGAACAGCGGGACACTCGTGATGTGTTTCCTCTTTCTCACTGTGTGAGACTCTATGATGATGGGTGGTCTTCTGTGTTTTATACTCAGCCATGTAGACTACCCATGTGCTAAGGAAAGATTTTTGTCATTACAGAATTCATTGTAAATACTAGTAAAGAAAAAGCAAGTTTATGGAAGTTTGTAATAAATGCAACTTAAGGTAATAAAATAACTTGATTTCCTCAAGTTTTACTCTTGTTTTGGTTCCTTAACTTTTTGTTTTAAATACTGTGGTGAGTTAATGCATGTGTGATCTCTCTTGGTTTAAAGAAAATGTGTGGGAGGGTTCTTGTAAATAAAATAAGGTTGATGGAGTGAAGGAATGACTCTTTGCGAAGCTTTTATCAGATTCTAAATAGCTCCTGCCTTGTTTGGCACATCTGAAAGCCCCTCTGCATATCCTTTAATAGTAAAGTACATTGGTTGAAATGCTGTGGCCTAGCTGTTGTGCACCCCCTTCAGTAACCACCTGCCCAACTGAAAGTTAGAACCAGCCAGTGTTTTTCAAAGGTGGTTTATTAATGTAAAACTGTGCCACTTTTACACAGTCAGTTTTATTTACAATTGTAACTACATAAATACATCAGGTACTCAGTCAAATATATCTAAGCTTCAGTATGTTGAGCTTCTTCAACAGCCTTACCAATATTTGCTTATTATAAATTGCACTGTAATACAGGAGGACATGAAATATGGAAGAAAAAGTACAGCTACAGGGGAGATTAGACTTCTGTTCCCTTAGACATGGAAGTCTAACTGTAGTCAGACCCTGATGATCCAAAAGTGCATAATCCATACACAGCAGGCCAGCCTTGTAGAACTTGAGTGCTCTGCTCACGCCATATGAGCAAAGCAGCAGAGGTGGCCCATTAGTTGCTTCTATTTTAGATGTGTATATATTTATCCAATAAGTAACAATAGCTGGATGAATACTGAGTGAGCAACTGGCCAATTCCAAAGCAGTATTTTGAATTTTTGCCTCCAGCCTGTGAGAGTTGGGCACTGTAGTAAAAACTGGCTTGCCTTTAAAACCTAAAGGATCAAATAGATTAATAAAGTCCAATTTAGTCCTGTGACCATTTACTGTTTGCCCTCTGAAGATGAAGCATGCGCTTCAGATCCATGGTTAACACACAGGTGTTGATGACTTAAGAGAGTTAACACCTAGGCAGACAAGGAAAAGAGACATGGATGAGCCGCCTCCCCCACAGGGCTCATATGACTAGCCACACCAGCTAGTAGATAGGAATGAAGAACCCTTTTGAACCGATCAGGCAAGTCAAATTATTTCTATATTCAACACCCAGTTATGACAGTCCTAAAAACACCCTATGGGATTTTGGCATCTGCATAGATCCTGCGGGGTTCTCATTTACTCCACAAAGTTTCCAAGCAACAGCAGCAAAAAAAGTGGAATTTCTACCAGGTTGCTTGGAAAGTTCTCAATACTTCCATGAAGGTCTTAAAAGCTTATTAACCTTCTATGCAAGCAGCAAACCCAATTTTTTCAACAGTTCATAAACACTAGTACCTCAAGAATGGGTTCACTTATGGACACATAGAACGTTAAATATTTCATTGGGGGAAAGCAGGTGAGATCAGGAACAGCGTGGTAGCTAAAAGACGAGTTCAAAGAAGAGAATCCCATGAGTGGTGATCCCCAAGTCTATGAATGCTAAAAAGGGTCACTGAACTTAATGGGACCACATCAGTGGGAGGAACAGTGTGCCCCTCCGAGTGCATGGCATCTGTTACCAAGTTCAGTACATGCCACCCACCTTGCCCCACAGATTTGCTAGACCCCAATAAGTCAGTCTTTAAACACAGTCAATTTTATTTCCATATATGATTAAATAGGCCTTTTTTTTTGGTATGTGTCTTGGGGATGCCTCCAACTGCTGCATTTTAAGAAGAGGCAAAATAAATTCAAGTGCAAACAACTTTCAGTGAGGAAGAGACACAATCAGCATGACACAATTAGCATTACATTTTCTCCTTGAATACCAAAAAGAAAAACTTTTATTCTCTCCCCCCCCCCTTATTTTAAAAGGGAAATCAGATCACTTCCTTGGGGCCTTCCTTGTGTGAGGGCTGCATGGATGTATCATATGCCCAAAGTGCAAGAGAGCTTAGTTGCCCACAGCATTACTGGTTGAGGAAGGCCATGTGTTGGCTCAAGGCAAGCTAAGCACAGGACAGTACGTGTATTTCTTCTAAGCAAGAGAACAGCCCTTGTTGTGTCTTAGGATGAGGTGGGGACCTGTCTGTCAGGTACATAATAATCCAGCAATGTAAATGCAACAGTTACAATGAAGTTAGCTGAGTAGGACCCCCCCCCCAACCCCACCAAGCCTGACAGCATACTGAAGTGTTGAGATTTAAGGTAACTTCTAGTAGACAGCTGCCTTTAACTTCACTTAGTTCTAACATGCTTTATCTTCCCACAAGTATATGACAGCAATGATCAGCCCTCAGTGCTTTTACAGCTGTTCTTTTTTTTAATTCTGGAACTCTTTAAATGGACAGTCCAGAGGTCTTGGTCCCAGTGGAAGAGGGGAGGGCAGCAGAAACGGGGGTTTTACACTTCACCCTACCAGCGGTATGCCAGGTCCTTAGCCGGCAGTAATTGTTGGCGAAATCTCTATTTGTGAAATGTTCCAGGCTCATCTAACTCAATGGGGAAATGTTGTTAATGCAGTCTGGACAGTCGCAAAATATTTTTGTTCTGAAACACAGGGGTATACAACACAGAGATATGGCAGTGATTCTACTGTGTCACTTTACTGTGTCACTTTATCAGGCTGAGACATGCAGATTTACTTGTAAGAAAGAAAATGCTGTGGTGTCCTTTCTTCATGGTTTAAAAGCCTATGTTGCAGAAGCAGCTGAAAAACACTACATCACAACGCTACACTGTTCATCCTACTTGTGGGCAAACTCATTTAACAAGCCAGGCACTGGAATTTTTCACATGGTTCTCTGCTCAAGTTCAGTTCAATCCCCTCACTGGACAACAGATTAGGTAGGTGTCTGGCACCAGGAAACTGGTAGGGAAATACATGTTTCTGTGGATCACGTAAGACATGTTTTGCACTGTAAAGCACACTTTTTCTGTCCACTGGAAGCCAAACCAAACAGTGTCCTTACATGAGCAAACTGATATATACTGCAGTGTGTACATAGTTCATAAGAATGTAATGCCTAGCAATGTTCAAGTCATCAGTTTCTTCGCTCAGACAGAGGGGGGGGGGGCCTTTCACCAGAGGTGTGTGTCCCGAATCTCAGCAATAATCTGACTGGCTCGTTGCAAGGCCTGTAGGAAGGACAATTAAGAAACAGATAAATTAGTTCATGCGGTTACGTTGTCTGTTTTAAGAGGCAGGCAGCATCCTATCAATCACAGTAGATTTTATGGACAAAGAGCCTTTAGGTTTTGATTGTGCAATATCTCCCAAAAAGAACTCGAACCTCAGCTAAACCACTAACCTTCCTTTTCCTTAATATCAGTGACTCAGTCTCGGATTTTAGAAACCCCGGACTATAACAGAGCGTGTAGCTTTTCTGCAAGGAGCCCTCACTTGACCCAAGAATATCTTCCACTGGAGGAAGTGGCAACACTGCCTGGAGCTGTCTAGGGCACTACCCATTAAAGCAGATGACCTAAAGAGCCTCATATTCCGGTTACACTTAGTAACCTTTGTCTTGTTTCACAAAGGGCAGAATTTGGACATCTGATACATTAGACCAATGCATCTTACAGAGATGACACGTGACACTTTAACCCTGCGAACTTCTTATCTACATAAGAAGACTGGGCTACGATACCTGTAACATGTCAGCTGCCTCCTTCCTACGCTGAGCCATGTCCTCCGATTCAGTCAAAAGATCATCCAGCAATAAGGCCTTGTACAGCTGTCCGACTAGCTCACTCTGGAGAGCATCTTTCACGTGGTTCACCAGGAAATGCATCACTGCCTTTGGCACGCTGCAAAACAAGCAGGGATCAGCTGTGCAAACACATGATGCCTGGGAGTGGCAAGGATTTCACTTTCCTTTTGCAAGGGGGTGGGGAAATTATTTGTGCTGTCCAATAACTGCCAAGTTAGAACAAGAGCAAGGTAGTTTTCACAGATAAACACAAACATTCAAGGAAATCTCTACTCTCTGCCCTTCCCTCTTGATCCCGCTGGTGGACCTCCTGATGTCACCAGGGTTTTGGCCACTGTGTGGCACAGAGTGTTGGACTGAACGGGCCACCGGCCTGATCCAACAATGGCTTATGTTCTTATGTCCAAGTCTAGAATGTAAACAGAGTATAACAGCCCCATACAATGCACACAGCCGGGAGAGCAGGATTGGTAGTTTCAACCGCATGTATTCAGGCTAAAGTCAGCCCAGAGCTTACGCACGCACAGACGCTGTATAAGCAGACCCCACACAGCACCCAGGAATATTGTGGTACTAGGTCACCTACCTCCATACATACAGTTCGTGTTCATGTTGATCCTGTGCCGATAGGATGAATAAGTGTAGGTGGGAATTAGAACGTGCCTGCATACACATGTATGTGCATGATGTGTACAGAGCTAATGTATCCCTTTCAGTTGTTGGGGAGATTCAAGAGGGATTGGATAAGCATATGGCGTGGAGGTCCATCAGTGGCTATTAGCCACAACATATAGAGGGAACACTATGCCTGGGGCAGTATTCTTGGTGCTTGGGGGGCAACAGTGGGAGGGCTTCTGGAATTCTGGCCCCACCTCCTGCTGGTACCTAGGTTTTGGCCACTGTGGGACAGAGTGTTGGACTAGATGGGCCACTGGTCTGATCCAACACGGCTTCTCTTATCTTCTTAGAGGATGTATTGAAAACTGATCAGCCAATATCATAATGCCCCTATATAAATCAATGGTGAGACCTCATTTGGAATACTGTGTGCAGTTCTGGTCACCACACCTTAAAAAGGATATTATAGCTTTGGAAAAAGTGCAGAAAAGGGCAACTCGAATGATAAAAGGGTTGGAACACTTTCCCTGTGAGGAAAGGTTAAGGCGCTTAGGGCTCTTTAGCTTGGAGAAACGACGACTGAGGGGTGACATGATTGAGGTTTATAAGATTATGCATGGGAAAGAGCAGGTAGAGAATGAGGTACTTTTCTCCCTTTCTCACAATACAAGAACTCGTGGGCACTCCATGAAATTGCTGAGTGGTCGGGTTAGAACGGATAAAAGGAAGTACTTCTTCACCCAAAGAGTGATTAACACATGGAATTCACTGCCACAGGAAGTGGTGGCGGCTACAAGCATGGACGCCTTCAAGAGGGAATTAGATAAGCATATGGAGCAGAGGTCCATCAGTGGCTATTAGCCACAAGGTATAGATAGGGGCTCTGGGGCAAGTGATGCTCTGTCTTCTTGGTGCTTGGGGGGTGGGTGGGCAACAGTGGGAGGGCTTCTAGTGTCCTGGCCCCACTGGTGGACCTCCTGATGACACCTGGTATTTCTAGCCACTGTGTGACACAGAGTGTTGGACTGGATGGGCCTTTGGCCTGATCCAACATTGGCTTCTCTTATGTTAGGAATGCCTGCAGCTTTCCCATCCTCCAGCCCCTCTGCAGCAGCTGTTTCAAGGTGGGAGCGACCTGATGATGGCCTAGCCCATTTTCTTGGACTGTGGGGTGGCTGCTGCAGTGGGGAACGGTGCCCAGAAGAGCCACATGTGCCTCCCAAGCTGCTGAGTATCACTAATTTTTGTATGGTAAAAAACAGATGTCAAAATTAATTAAAAAAAAAAAACAAGAGGGACATCTGTGAGGAAAACTCAGACTGGTAAAGATTTTTTTAAAGATTTAATGTGGCTCACCTGTCTTGAATATTTTTCCTCACAATTAGGAAGTAGGATTTAATCAGGCGCTCAATCACCTCACAGTCTCGTTGCTCGCGGGCTGAAAGCTTCCGTGCAACAGGAACAGGCTAGGTAAGGGGAAAAGAGCTTTTTAAAATATATATATATATATTCATGGGTAAACATTTTATCTGATTTTAACAAACTGTTGAGACTGAAAGTGGGAAAGGTACTTGTGATCTGAGACATGGGTGGAACCTGGTCAACTAACACTGAACCCTAGCAAATATTAACAAGTTTTTACAGGTTGTTGCAACATAAGTCTTTACAGCCAATACCTTGGAGATGACTCACAGTTCCTACAGCTGATCTCTGGAAGAAACACTGCCACAAATGCAAGCATGATCTGCGGTGCTCCTGTGGGTCACTTACCACATCCAGCAAATTTACAGCATGCCTTTTTTGAGGGCTCGCTGGTAGGACTGTCAGGGGTTTGGATTTTTCCTCAGCTAATATCTCCTCCGCCTTGGAGGTCTTCAGCATTCCTCTCCAGTTCCCTGTTCCAGATTCTGGATTTCCATCTCCCACAGCAGGGGGCATCTAATATAAAAAAAGCAAATAACGCAACATTCAAACTCAGATCACAGAAGCATGAGATCCATTCGGGTGTGACAAGGTTGGTGAGAGTTTGTTCCAAAATCCTCAATGATGAAGCATTCAGACTCCTAGGTACTCCATGACAAGGATCACAGATAAAACTAGGTCTTCATTCCACTTAAACAGGAAGATTTCTGTATCATTGTTTGCTGTGCATTGTTTGATGCACAACTACCACAGAATCCTGAAAGTCCCAAGTTTTGTTACAACATTTATGACTGCAGATATCACGAAGGAAGAGAATTGCAGGCAGGTTCTCTCAAAGGGCTCTGGTTTCCAGGGAAATGGAACTTCTCTGCCCTGCTTTACAACCTTCCCTTTGCCCACTTGCTCCATCCCCTCCCTCCTCTTGCCCTTGGGGGGGTTTCATTTTTGCTATTTGCAAATGCTATAGAACAAAAATCCAGTTCATGAAGTTTGGGAAAAATACATAAATTGAGAACACCTGTGCAAAAAAAGAGAGTAAAAACACAGGTGAATCCAACTTGTGTTAATTCACACAATTTATTCAAGTAAAAAAACCACCTGTGATGCATGTAATCCCAACTTCTGCAATGCTTGCTTTGCAGAGGAAACATGACGGAGTAACCTTGCTAAAGCAGATCTGGGTCAGGTTAGTGCTTCAGTTGGAAATCTTCAGGGAACCCTATGAGCTTTGGGTCTCAAAGTAAAGAAGGAGGTTTTTAAATTTAATAAATCCTTTAAAATGTTTATCTACCTGTTTAAAGTATTTCTAGCCTACTTGTCTCTCAAGGCAGCTAACAAGAAAACTGTCTTAATGTATAAATGCACATCTTTAATGCATCGTTATTATAATTTGGGGGACGGGCGTGCAGAATGTAGGATCACTAAGATCACTCTAACAAAAAGAATCAACCAGTGCCTGTGGGCAACCCATTTCTTAATTATCCCTGCCTTCTAACATGCAGAGTCCTCAAAGATCTGCAATAGTTTTCAGTAATTTTTTTCTCAAAGGGACTAGTAGCTTATATTTTTAGGAGAAAACAACAACTAGGCTGGACTGTCAGGATTCTTGAGAAAGTGCAACAAAAAGAAGAAACCTCTATGCCCCACGGAACTTCCAAGATGCCTGCCCCTACAAACATGCAAGGTAACATTTAACATGTTTATGCAGAGCACTGAACCAGCAGAGGGAGTGAGAGGCTTTGAATAAGCTTTGGATGATTAGTTTATTGTAAGCAAGTATTTGGATACTCAGAATAGTGCATTTATTTAGGTGTCTTCATTTCTCCTCTTTTTTTCTCCTAGAGCAATGGTTTTCAAATCTCCTTTTCTTCAGACAATCCTTTTCATGTGGACTTGCTTGCCTGTGGAATCCAGCAACATCTGCCATAGAACTCCTGCATGCAGCAGAGGATTTGGGGATACGTTGTGGGGTGTACAAGCAGTTCATGCCACCAATGATCACTTGATAAGTTTCAAAGCACTCCCCTGCCCACTTAGCGTTTCCCCAGAATGCAACTTGAAAACCACTGGGCTAGGATGATTAAATGAATTGACATTTGATCTGGACAGACAGAGATAGCACAGCCACTGACAGAGACCGCTTAGGAGAACCATCTTTAGTGGTGGCCAAGGTGTGCTACCACGAGAAAGAGTGAGCATGCCGTGCACATAGAAGAATCAGAGACAGACCTTGCCATCCACCTCGGCAGGACCGGCAGCAGAGGTCTCCTGGGAGGATGGTGCCAAAACACCAGGAGGCTTAGAAGACTAAAGAAGGCAAGAAGGGCAAGAAAAGGTCATCAGGCTTGGTTTCCAGTTTCATTTTTAACCAGATCCTCTCTTTGACCCCTGTCAAAGCAGACTGCTCTTTACACTCCTCTGTTCAAGGAAGTGGGTCCGGAGGGATAATTGCCGCAATTAAAGCTAAGCCCTGCTCAGGTTTTGAAGTGACTAAAGTTTCATTTAAAAAGGCCACATCAGCACATCACTCACCTTGTCTCGAGATGTGGCAGAAGACACCTCCCTGGCCAGCCTGTTCCGCCTTTGCTCCTTCAAACAAAAAAAGAAGCCAACAAAGGCCTTGATTGTGAATCAAATCAGTGACAAGATTTAACACCTCGGAGACAATGATCTAAATTGCAAGGAACTGACTGCAGAGCCACTAATATCCAGCTCCCCTCTGACTCAACACCTCTGCTACAAAGAGGATTTATGCTCTGTAAAAGGTTTTCTTAAAAAAGAGCTAGGTTTTGTAACCCCAAAACTACACCCATGTGTCCTAAGATAATCCCGGTATGGTACGATACAGCATGGTTCAGGCTCCACTTAGGTTAGACAAAGAGAGTTTTAACTGAACAGTCAAGAAAATACATTTATTTCCCCCGGCCCTGACCCTGAAGACAAAGAAGTTATGACACACACAGGGGCATGGAGGCTTGTGGCTCGCTTGGGTCATCCTAAAAGAAAGAACCAAGATGAGCAGTGCTCATGGGCAGCCAGAACCCAGTTCTTAAGCATGATACAGCAATCCAGCTGCCTTCCCAAGTCAGTTCACAAAAGATATGGCCATTTCCAGTCTCTGATTAGCACTGACCCCAGTGTGACTTTCTGTGTACTACCTACCCCTCCTCTCAATCCTCCTGATCAAAAGAGCACTCCGGACCTCAAGAGAAGTCAGTTTGTCCCCCAAGAACTGCCACCACCGTGCTGATGAACCTGGGCAACAAGACCACACCCACACTCCTGGGATCCAGCAAAGTACATACCCCTGATTTGAAGACTGAAATCTGTGCTGACTGACTACAGTCTTCTGTGCCCAGAACAGCTTTTTGCTGTACACATTCAGTCTGGTCCTCAGAAAACACAGAACTAACTAGCCCATTTTCAAAGGCAGAGAACAGAGACAAGCAAAGGAGAGCTACCACCATTTTGCCCTACTTGTCAGAAGCTCTAGGGCTGGTCAGGGCCAGAGTGACATGGCAGGAGAGAAAAGGCCTCTGGACAATAAAAGCACTCAGATTTTTTAGCTGATCCTCTCCCAAAGTATTACTTCTTCACCCAAAGACTGATTAACACATGGAATTCACTGCCACAGGAGGTGGTGGCGGCTACAAGCACGGACAGCTTCAAGAGGGAATTAGATAAGCACAAGAAGGGGGACCCGCGATACTTGTGGGGGGAGGAGCTCCATGTGGAGGAGGAGGAAGCAGCCGCAGATCAGCCTTCTCCCCCACCCCCCGGCACCAATGTCGAGGTCTGCGCGGCTCCTAGTCGCCAGGCCCACCAAGCCTCCTGGCACCAATGGTGAGGCCTGCGCAGCTACCAGCCGCCGGGCCCGCCAAGCCTTCTCTCTCCCGCACCAAGTACTCCCCCCCGGCGGCAGCCAACCAAGCCTTCTCCCTCCCCCCCCAGCAGCGGCGGCGAGGGCAAGACAGTTGCCAGGGCATTCTCTGTGCATGCACAGGGAACACTCTTTTACTTTTGGGGGGATTTAAGTATCCCCTGTATACTTTTTCAACTTTTAAGATTTTTCTGCACACCTGGGGACTGCCCCAAGTGTGCACGAAAATCTCCCTCCCCCCCAGGTGCCACCGATGCGCGGATTTAGATATCCGCACGCAGGGGGCACCTTTCGCTATTAGATATATAGATATGGAGCAGAAGTCCATCAGTGGCTATTAGCCACAAGGTAGAGATAGGAACTCTCAGTCTGGGGCAAGTGATGCTCTGTATTCTTGGTGCTTGGGGGGGGGGGTCAACAGTGGGAGGGCTTCTAGTGTCCTGGCCCCACTGGTGGACCTCCTGATGCCACCTGGTATTTCTGGCCCCTGTGTGACACAGAGTGTTGGACTGGATGGGCCATTGGCCTGATCCAACATTGGCTTCTCTTATGTTCTTAAGAGCTTTCTATCATGTTAAAATGGGTCATAGACTACAAAATAGAATGTGTCTGTGCATAAGATGAGAGATCCTTTTGTGAGTAACTGATTGTTTTCTGTAAATCCAAAAATAACTTAAGACCGTCCTTACCTCTATGTTGTTGTTAATTAGCCCACAGGCATCAGCGAAGTCGGGATGCTTAGTGTTGATATAGGCCAGCTCAATGGCTACCAAATTGTGAACCTAAAAAACAGACAAAATCATTCCAGTGTTGGGGAAGTCATTCTGATACAGCCTAACATATCTGAATGCCACCCTGAGCTTCCTGGGGATAGGGTGGGCTCAAGAGAGAACAATGGGTATAAAGCAGCTGCCAAATACCTATAAATGCTTTACAGCAAGGTACTCCAATAATCCTTGGATTTTAGCTAGTTTTATGCTGTGTTACAAACAGGCCCGTAGCCACAGTGGGGATCTGGGGGCTGGTCCCCCCAAACTTACCTCAAAGGCCCCTTCAAATGCCCCCCAGCTCCATCCTTGGTCAAGAGACTCACCGCCCCCCTGACTCGGGCTGATTCAGAGGCCAATGGGGTGCCACCAACAGGGGCTCTGGCTTGGCCACCAGGGAGACAGGTGGGAGAGGCATAAAAGGAGCAGTAGCCCAGCCAGGTGGCGTGAATCTGCCCTGGCTTCTCTCTCACTGAGGGACGCCCCTCTGCTTAAGCCACCCCCCCCCTTCAGGTGGGAAATAAAACCATATGCTAGAACATGGTGTGACGACCTCCTATTGGGGAGGACTAGGTTTCTCTTTAAATTATATTGGGTGTTTATAAAAACGGTAGTTCCGGCTGCCACCAGGAATTTTCTAAATTCCAAATCCACTCTCAGTTTATTATGTTGGTATTGTGACCCAGGGTCTAGGCTCTGTGGTCCTGAGGAATAACTGATATGACTTCTGGGATTAACTTAAATAAAAGAGGATTTATTGAAAGGGGAACAAAATAAGAGGTTGGTTATTATGTAACTGGTTGGGAATAAGGGTCCTGTAAATGAGCTTGTGAACTGTATCACTTTAATACACATATACTGATCCTTCTCGGATTCCACACAGATTCTTTCACCTCTCTCACTGACTTGAATTTCCACTGAACACTTCAACTGCTTTTTTTCAACTGACTCTCCTAACTCTGACTTTCATATTTAACTTTCATAACTGACTAACTGACACTCACACAGATCCACTTCAAAAACTCCTCCCACACTCTCTCATCCTCCAATCACAGCACACTTGTCTCTCTCAATCACTCTACTCTGCATTCACTGCACTGCAACCCAACATTTAAAGAGACACACACACTCTTAAAATAAGGAATCGTTACACATGGCACCTCCCCTTTTCACCTCAGTGACCTCCCCCACCCCACCTGTGCGCCCCTCCCTGTGCAGAGCTCCAGCAGGGAACCCTCGGCAATTAGGCGGGCGGCACAGGAGACAGGCAGCACTCCAACCTCGCCAGGCCAGCAGCCTGACCTTCCCAGCATGGCACTGGGCAGCTTCCGGGGGCCCGCTTGCATTGCAACAAGGTGTGAACCAGTAGAGCACGCTATGCCCAGAGGAGTCCCGGACTGGGCCAGCTCCACTCAGCACTCCTGGTATGTGCCCCAAAGCTCCTGCCTTCCCTTCCCTCCTTGCCACCCTGCTGTGGGCTCATCCAGCCTTGCAAAGCCAGAGGTTGCCTCCTGCAACCTGGTGCCACCGATGATGACAGAGACAGGGTAGGGAGGCGGGCTGGCTGACAGCGCCCCAACAGAGGGGGAGGATTAATTAAATCAGCCAGTGCCCCTCCCCAAGAAATTCTAAATGCCCCCCAACTTAAAAATTCCTGGCTGTGGGCCTGGTTTACAAGGAATGTACAACTGCAAGCAGTATCTGACCCAGTAGCATTACCATTTCGTTGGTTATTGGTAGCCTCCGACGCAAGAGACTGGTCACAACTTCAACAATGGCGTCGTGGAGCTTTGGAAACCTCAGCAGTTCCTGAATACAGGCAAGACAAACAAAGAAGGGATTCCCCCCTCCTTAAAACTGAGAGACAAAACTGAATGAACATGAAAGCAGCCTTGCATCACACCAAGAGGCAAGCAGCGTGGACAGCAGAAAAAGCTCTCCTGGCTCTTCTGACTCCCATGGCTGGGTGTTGCTGCGTGATTTAGATTTTAATAGCACAGAGTCCTTACGCAAAGCTTTGCTCTGGAGACACTCTTGTAACCAGAAGAATTTTGGGTGGAAAAGCATTAGCCAAAAATGCGTCACCCTAATCCGTTAGGGATTTCAAATGTCTGTCTCAAAGTAAGGACTGCCTAGAGAATCATTTGGTACTAGAGTTCCTTTCCTGACATCTGACAGATGGTGGTGCAAGAATGCACCATGTCTGTATGGAGCTACATCCTCCGAGCAGTTCAAACTGAAACAGAAGGGGGATTTCACCGGCTGGGAAAAGTGAGCAGATCCTGTTGACTGCTCCCCCTTGGACTGCGAGCCGGAGTCCCCACAAGCAATCACACCAACAGGGTTCAGTGAGGTTCACTTGTGGTTTCAGTGATGGGTCTTCAGCTGGGGGCTCCGCCCAGAAGGAGGGGGACATCTTTGCTCACAGGTCCTGGAAGGCTCCTCCATATCAGCAGTAACAGTATCACTGTCAAGACTGTCTTTAACCACAGGCACTGTTCCCTCTAAGCTGAGTTAGTGTGAGCTAGCTCACACTTTTTAAGCCTCCGGATCACCCTTTTGTCTTAGCTCAGAAAGGATGGCTCCAGAGCAATCTAATTTATGCAGTAGTCAAATCGCTTGCTCACAACTTTAATGCCAGTGTCTCACAAAGTAGAATTTTTGCTCACAAGACTCCACAGTTTAGAGGGAGCATTGCCCGCAGGTCTGGTTGTGTACTACAGCACCACAAAGAGTTTGAAATGGCAACACCCTACAGCCCTTGTAAGAGTCTTGTCACCTAGACTTTTATAATACTGGTGCCTCACCCTCTCCAGCTACATGATAGTGAATCCAGAGTATTGTCCCTACTACAACATGGCCCTCTTCACCCCTCCCACTTCCACGTGTACGGCTAGATGGGTGGTCCCAGAGATAAACGCCCACATGGAATTTTGTGTTACACTGTGGAAAATGTTGCCCTTTCTTTGCCGTTCAAACTTCAGGTTTTTCATTGCTCTGCAAAACTGCAAAGTGAAGAAAACAAGCACCATGTGTACCAGCAAGCTTGTCCATGCACACACATGCCAGCATGACATGTATGCCCCCCCTGCAACAGTGCACAAAGGTGTGGCCAGGTGGTGAGCTGGCTACCAGCTCTGAAGCTGTCCCGCTGTTTGTCCTAGAGACAAAAGAGGTTCTTATCCAGACAATTAGAGGATATATATAAGTACGAGAATGCACTACGTGAACAATCCCAACTTGGTCTTCCTGTCTTCTGACAGACCTGCAACAATACTTTCTCTTACCTGTGTGCTGTAATTGCTACAATGCTGAATGATCCTCTGCATTTCTTCGTGAACAAGCTCCACGCACCGCAAGCTGGGCTCTTCCAAGCGTTTGATTTGCCTTTTCACCAGCAGTTCGAATGAAACTTCAGGCACAAACAAGGCAGGACGTGGACCCTGGCCAAGCCAAGAGGAAACAGCTTAGTGTTTAATTTCACTGTAGGAGAAGCCACAAGCATTCACCAGGAAATGTACATATTACAAGTAATGCAACCCCACCACAGAGTACAGGTTAAAGAAGGGATGCAGCATTGTAAGCTAAAGAGGAATAATACCTACAGTAGCATTTCTAATGGCGGTCAAGATGTCAATGGTGTTCAGGCCACCAAGCGGATCAACAGATTCTAAGGTGCGCCCAAAGGTCTCATGGAAAATGTAGCAAATTCTAGCACCACCACACCTGAATAAGGAAAAAAAAATGTGATCAGAGGAGTACACAGAGGAAAAAGTATTGATTTATTTCTTGCCCCCCCCTTCCCCCCTAATAGGACATGACGTGGTTTACAACATTGTCCTCTTCTCCATTTTATCCTCATAACAACCCTCTGAGGTATGTTAGGCTGAGAGTGACAGGCCCAGGGCCCCCCAGCAAGATTCCCTGGAAGAGCAGGGATTCAAACCGGAGTTCTCCCAGATGCTAGTCCAGCCCTCTAATCACTATACTGTACCAGCTCTTGTCCTCATGATTTATAGAAGGTAGCAGATTTCACTCTGAGAATACACTCTAGGACAGGGTGTCGAACTCATTTGTTATGAGGGCCGGATCTGACATAAATGAGACCTTGTTGGGCCGGGCCATGTGTGTCATAAAATGTAATGCCAGGTAGCGGAGATATAAACTTTATAAAGGACACAAACACAAAGGTTGTGGGTTTTTTTTACTTAAAATAAAAATACGCTTAAAACATTAGCACTCTTGCAATATTTTGTTTATTTAACAGTGTCTGATAACTGACACCTCTTGCTCTGAATTATTGCATCAAAATGTCTGTGCTGTTGCAATCCTGAGTATACTGTTCAGGTGTGTATCTGTAAGCTGCAAACCTATGATGATGCAGCAGCAGCAGAACTGGAAGAAGAAGCAGAAGACAGCCAGTTCCACTGTGGGGGCTTTATCCGGCCCCCGGGCCCCATGTTTGACACCTCTGCCCTAGGAATACTTTTTGTGACTGGGTTTTTCATAGCTACTTTTAATGACTTTTATATGTTTCACTGTGAACTGCTCTGAGCATATCTCTGGAGAGGCGGCATATACATTTTCCAAAAGCATATGTATAATTAAACTTGCACCTCCTCCCAGCAACTGGACCTCAAATCAGAATGTGCACTTACAGTTCTGAAGTCTCGATGTACTTTGCCGTCCCTTCAATGGTGTTGCAATATTCAGCGGCAAATTTGGTAATAAGCTGCAATAACGTGGCACTCTTGTCATCGACGGGCTCCCCGTAGCTGTTCAGCAAAGACTGGTACTGAGCAGCTAAAACGTTGATTCTGGTCTTCAGTTCTGGCAAACAATCCCGAATGTGGTGCATGAGTAGCCTAGAGCAGAAAAATCATTCATTCAGACAGCCAGTGTGACCGATATGGACAAACTGAGTTATTAAACAACCATTTATTTTCACCCAAGCAACTGAAACTCAAAAGTGCTTTACTACAGATTTAGAAGTTGTGTGTTTTTCAGAGCAGCAGAATTCTGTGCTACTGCAGTTTGCTTAACAATATACACAATTTACATACAACTGTTCTGGACGGTCAGATAACTTTCTTGGAGCTTGATGCTCAATTATTCCTGGTGATATAACTAAGCTTAAAGCATAACTATGCTTCCTTTCCCATTACTAATAGTTTCCATTGTTGCATTTGCCTGAGTTTTTGAGCACCAAAAACACCATAATTTGTGACGTTGTGAATGTCGTGACAATATTCAGAAACCAGTGGTTGGGGCATTTTAATCTTGCTGGACATACTTGTCCCGGTCGCGGCCGGGCCCTCCCGGAACCGCTGGGAGAAGGAGAAACACAAGACACGCCCAGTCACCCGCTCCCGGCCCCGCTTGCCACACTTACCCTGGTGGTGGGGACGAAGGCCGGGCGCAGCAGAAGACAGAGGCCAGGGTCATTGGCAGGCTCCGGCGGAGGATTGGGGGCCATGGCGGCAGACTCGCAGCCAGAAGATGGAGGCGCGGGACGGGCATGGGCTCACCCGCGGCCTCCAGCGGGGGCGACGAGGGCTCGGGAGGAGGAAAGGTGGGCCCCGGCAGCCCCGGCGTCAGTCCTTTTACAGGGAGACAGGGCCAGGAAGCAGGTGGAGCCAGGGGCCGAGGGGGGAATAAAAGGAGGAGACGAGCCAGCCTATGAGGAGGCCCTGGGCTGGCTACAGCTTTGGTCCCACGGCTAGGAAGAGAGAGAGAGCGCGAACGGGAATAGCAGCAGTTTGACAGCCAGAAACCCAGGACGGGCCAAGAGAGTGGAGCAACTCTCCGCCTCGCCCGTTATCTGAGGCCAGCTCCCTCCTTGGGGTTTTCCCCTGCTCGGCTCCTAGCACCCTGGTCAGTCCACAGAGGGCCCTCTGCTGGGCATTGCCGGAAGGGCAGCACGGCGACCGGCAGCCAACCTCTCCAGGAAGACGGAAAGCGCGAAAAGATGAAAAGGACTCATCAAAAAATTAAAGATTATATGTCACCCTGTCTTAAATGGGGACTTGAGATTTCCTTGCTCACTACCATCACTACAACATAGATCCACAGGACATTCTTTTTGGAAACATTAATTTGCTGTCCTCCTCCCTTTTCCCCTTACATTGAGGTTTACACTTGAAAGATTCATAGTGTAACTCACACCAAGTCTGGACTCCCTGCCCCACCCCTGCCTCAGAAAAACTCCCCAACATGGTTTCAGGCAGCTGGAAAAAAAGATCCTTTTGAGACTTCCAGCGGCGCGGCGATGGGTGGGGTGCGCGAGTGCTCCCAACGCCCGATTCCTAACCGCTTCTTCTGGGACCTCCCGGCTTGCGGGAGGAGAGAGCTGGAGCAGGGGGCCTTTGGTTGTGGCCCCTCCCGTCACTGGCAAGGCGGGGGGGGGTGTCCACCCCGTGCCCTGAAGCAGAAGCGGTTGTGTGAAGGGGAACATGGCCGCCATGTTCCTCCTAGCTGCTGCCTTCCGTCCTGTTTTTTACCTATACCTAATTTATGGATTATAAAGACAACAACGAAGAATAAGGTTGAGAAACTGAAAGAATTTGAAGTGCACACATCTTTAAGAAGAAGCAGTTTTGTTGCTGCTCTGGAAAGTTTGGCGTAAAAGGAGAAAAATGAAGCGGCCAAGAATGGAGAAGCTAAGTACTTTATATGTGGTTTTTCTTCCACTTGGGGCAAGAGGTATTGTTCCCTTGGAATAGGATAAAAATGGTGAGAGTGGCTGAACGATATTAAGTGGGTTATTTGAAAAAACCTGCATGGAAATGGCGTCTGTAGAGGGAAAGGACATGGAAGAGAATAATGATGAGAACATGTTCGTGTTAGAAATGTCACTGGAACAGTTCATGGAAGTGCTAAAGGAAGGAATTCAAGAAGGAATACGAAAGGGTATGCAACAAGCATTTGCTAGCTTGAATGAAAACCCTATTACTTTAGAGAGATCAGAAAACTTGGAGCTAAGTACACAAACTTTGGGAGAGTTTAATGGGTGTCAGCAAAGAGAAGAAGATGCAGAATTATTATACCCGCAAAACTCAAATCAAAATTAAAAAACAGCTAATAGGAGGCAATTTTGGAGAAAGCAATAACGTTTATTTCAGAGGAAGAAGTTGCAGATTTATAGATAATAAATTAAATTTCATGGTGTTTTTTTTCTCTCTTTCTTTTCACATGAGCTTTTTGCTATGGCCTGTATGCGTAACAATGGATGGGCTTGTTTTGTAAATGGAATTGATATTTTAAGTTTCAGTAATAATTTTGAAAAGGCGTAAATGTGATTGAAATAAGGAGGGAAAGTTTAATGGGCATAAAATTATAGTGGGGTGAATGAATTGGGTTAAGTAAGATAAAAGGTTTAATTAATTTCATGTTTATGTTAGATATTTAGTTTATATATTCTGTATATTGTTTTGAATGTTCTCCGAATCTTTGCAGTGTGAATATTGAAAGTGACCACCTTGAAGTTTATAAATAATGATGTATGCAGTACATAAAAATGGGGGTAAAGATCAAATGGAGATAAGTGTCAAAATGCTGATAGAGAAATGGATGGTAATGGAGAAAGTAATAAGGTTTCAAATTTAGGTAAAGTAGAAATGGAAATAGATAGGGGAAAGGTATGGGTATAATGGTAAGCACTAAAGGGATCTAAAGTAAATAAAATGTAAACAGAAATGATTTAGGCTAATTTATCTATATATCTAATAGCCAAGTTGCCCCCGTGAGTGCGGATCGCTAAATCAGCGCTCCGGGG